TAACTCTCTGAATTAGTAGAAATTTGGGCAGCACTCCCTTTAGAAAGGGAGACTTCCCAGATTTATACTAAGTCAGATATGAACTCGAACAACAGATCAAGCTCAACTTTAGACTGAATTTAACTAACTCCTTAATTTTGTGGAAATTTTGGCAGCACTCCCTCTAGAAAAGTGTTATTCCAAAATTTATACAAGGCTAAGTTCAAATTTTGAAAGTAACTTTGGCTTCCCACAAATCAATTTTTGTCTAACTCCCTTAATTAGTAAAAATTTGGGCAGCACTCCGTTTAGAAAAGGAGACTTCCCAGATTTTAACTAAGCCAGATATATGGAAAAGACAAGTTGAACTCTGACAAGTCAAAAGTTGGTTAACTTCTTGGATTTGTAGAAATTTCGGCAGCGCTTTCCGTAAGAAAAGAGGCTTGCCAAGATTTATACAAAGCCAAGCATAAGAAAAGATCTCAGAAAATGCAGGAATTGACCTAAGTAAAAAAAAGTTATTACAAAAAATGCAGGAATTGACACTAACTCCTATGGCTCTAGCACGTGGCGAGCAACTAAAGCAACTACCTATAAAACTGAAATCTAAACAAACTAGTCATCCCATCCAGTCACATGCAAACCAAATCACGAATGTAAGTACTCTCACCATCCCAAGTTCATTCCATATAGATAGTTCATGAATCTTCAAGTTCTTGCATCCTTATACCCATCTTATATAAGACATAGAGCTGGACCATTCGTCATGGAAACAATGCCCAGCTTGTCTTTATGATATACACGAACAGGTTGCACAACTACTTCTCTCTTCTTTTGGGCAGATGACTAGGCCATTCGTCATGGAAACAATGCCTAGTCGCCCTGAGCTGTTTAATATCCAAAGATTTAGTATTTCTCTGACTTTGTTTTCAAAAGAAAAGGCAAATATGGGCAGGGGACTGAACCATTCACAGTAGAAACAATGTTCAGCTTGCCCAAACTATTTCCATTTATACTTTGTATTCTCCCTTTTCTCTTCTTAATGATATGACTTAAGGCTAGACCATTCACAGTAGAAACAATGTCCAGCTTCCAGTTCACATGCAAATATACATAAAGTACTTTCCTTTATACTCAGTTTAATTTATGTGCGTGGTTTTCAGGCTAAACCATTCACCATGGAAACAATGCTTAGCCTTAGACCAGAAATCCTCCCTCAAAATAAACAAGAATTTAAACCCCTTCAATCAGGCAAATCCTCATAGTTAACTAGGGTAGCCAAGCTATTCACAGTAGAAACAATGCTTGGTTCCCCAGAAAACAATCAAATAAACACAGCGACCAGGCCATTCACAGTAGAAATAATGCCTGGTCCTTCAGAAAACAGCCAAATAAACATAGCCCTGAGCCATTCACAGTAGAAACAATGCTCAGGCTTTGGTTGACCCTTCCAAACGCATGCCAAACTGCCCTCCTCCCACCTTCCTCCAATTCACCCTTAGTCTGCTTTCAATCGAAACGAAGATGAAACTTAAGCTTCACTCTCACACGTTCCTTCCATTCAATCTGATTAGGTCCTGAAGATAAAACAATAGTCATAGAGACAAACTCATGCGTACATCAATCATACTGCAGGGGGATAGACAAACATGGGTAATAGTGAGTTATACAGATGAAGCCTCCAGAAATCCTCCTGAGTTCCGGCAGAGCTCCCGCAATAGGTGAGTGGACTCCCCACAGAGTCTTGATGCAGACCTTTGGGTTGTAATCCCGCCTGCCGCCTTCCCGTCGTAACCAGCATTCTGGACTTAGACTTAGAAAGATAGAAAGAGAAAAGTGTAAGACTCTCAGATCCAAGAGTGGTGCCCTCAGTCTCGCGTGAGAGGGCCTCGTTGTCTTCAATCGCCTGAGGGTCCCGCAATGGCGACGGACTTACAGCTTGGTCAGCGAAGTCAAATTGTCGAAGTAGCCCTTCCTGACGAGCCCTCAATCCGCAGCAATGACCCCCTTCACCACCACGGTCCGACTGCTCCTCTACGCCCTAACATCTCTCCTTGGCCAATCCCCGATGTCAATCTCAACACGTCGCCGTGCTATACTTCTGTGACTTACAGGCATAAGCATCACGGTACCCTGCTTGAGCAACTAGTATGAAGTGGCTAAGCCGTTAAGGATACTGCAACACACCAAATTGTAATAAACAAAGTGACTGCAGCCGCAGAAGGCCAGCTGAAGCCGGACTCGGACAACCGAGCACAACAACGGACCATCCAGGCTAACACAATGGCCAGGATGCCCAGCTACTGGGCAGTAGTGGGAGCCACAGCTGTGCACAACGCAGCGAGAATGCGACAGTTCACACAGCCGCACCTGCAATGTACACCCAGGTCAAAAGTACCCAGCCTCCTAGTCACGGTAACAACCCCTCCCGCTTCCCCGCAAGAAGCTTGTGTTCAAGCTGAGCGCCTGGCAGAAAGGGCGCTGCACCTGTGACAAACATGCAGTACGCCTATTACAACATGACATCGTGCAGCAGACGGCAGTTTGCACGGTCTTTGCAGCAGCCACCCGATAAGCCGTAGTTCATCCAACAATAGCTCAGCAAGGCAGAGTCCCTT